TGTTTTCCCAACGTTACAATTGGGGGGGGGGGCACCGGGGGAGGGGGGTCTCAAAAAGGTCAAGATCTTGATTTTTTTGACCCCCACCTGCAGATGCCTGTGCTAAGCGTGGTGAGTTTTGACCTTGATCAAGGTTTTTTTGTGTGTCTTAGTGGGCTTTGGAGGAACCCAACCTGTTTGGTTAGTTGATGATCCTATGTATTGTGTGAATGCAGAAAATGGCTTAATTGAACCAGGTTAAGGATATTATGAGAACACAACTGCTGGTTGAGTTTCCCAAAACACACTAAATAACTTTGGGGTGTTGTGTTGTTTTTTTAATTTATATGCCTTCCTGACTCAATGTTGAGTTGGGTGGCCTTATAAATCTAAATTATAAATGAATGAATACATGAAATAAACAAACAAACAAGTAGATACAGGTAGTCCTTGTTTAATGACTGTTCACGGTTATGATGGTGATGAAAAAATAACTTTGTGACCAATGCTCACATTTACAACCTTTGCAAGTCTGTAAAGCAGTGCTATTCAATCTCAGCAACTTTAAGATATATGGACTTCAACTCCCAGAATTCCCCAGCCAGCTGAAGTCCATACATCTTAAAGTTGCTGAGATTGAGAAACACTGCTGTAAAGGAAAGGAAAGCTGAAGGAAGATCATAAGCCCAGTTGCAGTTTTGCTTAGCAACCACTTCACTTAATGACCAAGTTGTCAGTCCCAATTGTGGTCACTAAATGAGGACCTGTAAATGAGATGAGAAACCTAGGGCAGAGGCAGTCTACCATGGGAAGAGCAGGGGTGCTGGGGCAAGCAATCAGAGACTTGCCTTTGTGGCCCTCCCTGTGAAGTTCCTGGCTGAAAGGAAGAGTAAGTTAGACCAGCTAGTCCCAACTTGTTGGCCAATTCTGTTGACTAAAGGCCCTGCAAGCAGGGGATGCTGGGAATTGTAGTCTCAACATATCTGGAGGCACTAGAAGTTGCAGACCAAGCTGGCAGGGTTGCTCTCATATTTGCAGGAGTTTGGCCAACACATATCCCCAGAAACGCCTGGGCTCTTGTGTCTTTTCCCAGGCCCCTCAACCATGGAGCCCAGCCAGCTGGTCAGATACCTCCCTGGCCATGATGCCCCCAACTCCTGGCTCCAGGCCCAAGTGACCTTGTCATCTTTCTCTTTTGCCACTGGGACAGCATTTATGAGCATCACGTTCTTGGCTGGAGCTCTGGATTTGCACATGGAGTCCCTGAGCTTCTCTGGGCGACCCTGCAGGCTGTTGGATATCCGGATGAGCCATAAAAGAGGATTTGGGGCCAAGGCAAAAGCACAGCTGGGTCTGGGGCGGAGAGTCAGAAACAGCCCTTGATGCTGTGAGGCATCGATGTTCAGGAGAATCGCTTTGGAGAGCTGAGAGAGGAACGAAGGAGGGCTGGAAGGTCGGGGGAGATGGGGCGGGAGAAAGGCTGAGTTGCAAAAATGTTCCTGCCGAGAATTGTAGGGTGCACAGCTTTGCCATGCTTGGGGCATGGCATTGATGCGTTATTTGCTGATTCCCTTCCTCCCCAGTCTTTTGAAAAATCCAAGCGAGCGCATCCTGCTTCGGTTTAAAACACTCATGAGAACCGCCTTGAAATTGTGTGTGTGTGTGTCGGAGGGCGGGTGTTGAATGTTGTTGTTATCTGCATCTGGATAGACCGGGGTGATTAACACTGAATTTGCTTAACTGAGGAAAGTGATTTTTCAGATTTAGCATTTTAGGGGCGATTGCCGGTAAGCTTATCCCTAGCGCAGTGTTGTCCAAACTTGGCCACTTTAAGATGAGTGGACTTCATCTTGGCCACTTTAAGATGAGTGGACTTCATGCTGGCTGGGGAATTCTGGGAGTTGAAATCCACTCATCTTAAAGTGGCCAGGTTTGGACAACACTGCCCTAGCAGAAGCTCAGGAGATGCAAAGGAATCTGGGACACCCCCAGTCCTTATCAGTCAGCCCCGTTGGGCATCCTTGCCCACAAATATGAGGACGGCGCCCTGCCAACTCCAAATGCCTGGCAGCTGCACACAGTCTTGGCATGCTGGCTTCCAGTTCCTTGAGGGACATCCCCCCCCGCCCAAACCCTACCGGGTTTGACCTGGCCAGACCGAAAGCGAAGCCAAGAACGCTGGACGACTGAAACAACGGGCCAGAGCGAAAGGTTCTGCCACCGGACGGAGGGGGACTGCAGGAAAGAAGGAAGAGCCGAGGACGGGGAATTTGGACAGGAGCACGCCCACCCCATGCCTGGTGCCGCGGCTGGAACGAGGGGCTGTTTGCCTTTCGGAGGCAGCTTCTGGGCTCCCGGCCCCCACACAGGATGCTCCGCAGACAGAACGGGCGAGAATGCACCGGCTCCTCGCTCGCCTGCCAAAGGCCGGCTTCCAACCGGGCCGTCCTCCGAGTTTTGCAGGCAGGCGAGATGCTTCCCTGTCTGCAAGCTGAGGGTCCCCACCAAACTTGGTTTACAGGCTGGAGGAAGAGCTGCGTTGCCCTCTGACCTCCCGCCCCGGTTAGAGAGTCAGATTCAGGCTAGGCTGAAGCCACGTTTGCTCGCGCATGCACCCTGAATGGCACACCCACGTAGGCAGCAGGGCCCGCTTTAAGAGAGGAATAAACCTGAGCGCCTCATTCAGATGTCACGCAAGAGCCAAGATCTTTCTGCAGCATCCACGTGGCTGGGATCCAGTTGCACTCAGAACATGCTCTGAAAGCAGTCACCTTCTCTTCCGGAGGCTAGAGAAGTGTTTCTCCACCTCAGCAACTTGAAGATGGGTGGACTTCAACTCCCAGAATTCCCTAGCCAACAGGGGAATTCTGGGAGTTGAAGTCCATGCATGCTGGCTGGGGAATTCTGGGAGTTGAAGTCCACCCATCTTCAAGTTGCTGAGGTGGAGAAACCCTGGATTAGTGAAATAGTAAAACGCAAGCAGAAGAATGAGCCCAGCGAGGGGAGGTTCGGGCCTCTCGGGGTGGGGTGGGGGCCATTATTTCCAGCTGCAGCAGAAGGGTGCAATTGTCCTTTCGCCCTCTTTCGTGCGCGGTGCACCCCTGGCCCAACGCCCGTGGGTGCTTTCAAAGTCCCACCTTGTAAACAGAGTGCGGGGAATTTCCTTCTGCTGCCCAAGCCGGATCTCTCTCGCCAGAGGCATCCGAAGAGTAAACAGAGGCCGGCTGGGAAGGCCCGGTGAGTCCGGAGGGGCTTGGCGGGGAGGGTCAGGATGAACTCCCCGGCGAGGGCAGCGAGCAGAGCAGAACGGGGCCGTCTGCGAGAGCGGCTGGCGCGTCGGAGGGAGGCCGTGGGGAGTTTGGGCCAGGAGGAGCAGAAGAGGGGACAAAAGCGTGGGATTGAGGCTTTTATTCTCTCCTTCCTTCCTTCCTTCTCTTCCTCCCTCCCTTCCTCCCTTCCTTCTCTTTCTTTTTCCTTTCTTTCTTTTTCCTCCCTCCCTCCTTCCCTCCCTCCCTCCTTCCTTCCCTTTCCCTCCCTCCCTTCCTTCCCTTTCCCTCCCTCCCTTCCTTCCTTTCTTCTTTCTTTTTCCTTTCTTTCTTTTTCCTCCCTCCTTCCCTCCCTCCCTCCTTCCTTCCTTCCTCTCTCTCTCTCTCTCCCTCCCTCTTTTTCCTTCTTCCCTCCCCTCCTTCTTTCCTTTCTCCTTTTTCCTTTCTTCCTTTCTTTTTCCTCCTTTCTTCCCCTCCCTCCCTCCCTTTATCCCTCTTTTGTCTTTTCGTCCTTCTCTCTCTCTCTCTGTGGGCACTGCCAACGTTTGCAGTTTGCCAGAGGCAGGACTTGGATTGTCTGGTTGTGGTAGCCATGTTGACTTTTTTGACCTCCTGAGGACATCCTTGACAATTGTCCTGGCTACACACATGGATCGATCTGCTTCATGGGAAGAAACTCATTAATTAAAACTCATTAATTAAAACATAACTTCACAAATAATATCAGTATTTGGAATTTTCTTGCTCCCCCTCGGGTTTCGTGGGCCACTGACTTCAACAGCAGAAAACCCGCTGTAAAAAAAATTATATTGCTGGCTGGGGAATTCTGGGAGTCGTAGTCCACACATCTTACAGTTGCCAAGGTTAAGAAACAATGCTCTAGATCAGTGTTTTTCAAATTTGGCCACTTTAAAGGTGTGGACTTCTTCCGGTTGTTGGGGAATTCTGGGAGTTGAAGTCCACACCGCTTAAAGCTGCCATAGTTGAGAAACACTAGAATAGGTGATGGAAGCACCTTCCATCTGATTCAAATAAACATCGACTCTCCTTTGGCCACACTCGTTGCTGCTTGACCACGATTAGCAGCTGTGATCCCACCCAGCAGGCCAACTCTGCTTAGTTTTTCTGCGTGTGGCTCAGCGCACTGAACCCAGCCCAGTTATGACATGTATGACTCATAGCAGTACGCAAATTGAGAAAATGGATTAATCAGGTTATGAGTGCTGTGTGAATGGAGTCATGCCTGCCTCATAGGGTTGTTGTGGTGGTGATGGGGAAAATTTGGAGAAGGAAGTGCTGCATTTGCTGCCTGGTGGCAAGACAGGATCTGAATCTAACCAATAATAAATGCATCTATAAATATAG